TGTAACCCGGGACAGTCCCAGCCCGCAGGGGCTCTGTCCCCAAAGCTGGCACACCCCTCCCAGGGACACAACTGGATGTCACGGGAGTGGGAGTGCAGCTCAGGTAACGGGTCAAGTAGAGTTCTGTTAATTCATTTAAAAGGGACCATCCCTTTTCTCATCCTCAGGAGAAAGGACAGGATGGAAACATCACACATCAAATGTTGTTGGTTTTTAAGCACCATCACACTGAAGGTGCTTAAAAACTGGTCCAATTCAGGAAGCTGTGCCAGCATGGAACAGGGGTTTGTTACACTRAACAGGGAGCTGAGGACACAGGCARTGYCCAAGGCCAGGCTGGACAGGGCTTGCAGCACACTGGGACAGTGGAAGGWGTCCCTGCCCAGTGCAGGAGTGGGACTGGGATARTCTYTGAGGTCCYTCCCAACCCAAGCCATTCTGTGATTCCAATTATTCTATATAAAATAACACCACAGGCATCAGTGCACTTCAACACCAAGAACCCTCCCSATGTCATTTCATTATTTAAACTGTGCATTACCCACTGCAGCCCTACAGATCCCTGCTACATCAATCCCTTCCCCTAAACACGTGGCCCAGGAGGTTGGGCGGTWATGATTCCACACTTCTAAAAATGACAGTGACACCCAAAGTATTTTTAGGTCCAGGGAAGTGTTGCCCTTTAGCAGGAAGCTCTCCATAGCACCCAGTAAATACTTGGCCCCTTATCTTTGTCATCTGACAGCTTCTTTTACTGYCAAAGTCAAAACAAAAAGCTATTTTTTTCAAATCAACATTGCAGAACAGATTGTCATACCAATATGTAAGAGTTTTTGCTGTATTATTTTTTTCTTTAGTATTAAACCCACGGTTCTTGCTCTTTAATGCTGAGATTCTCTGTCTGGTCTTATGTTCAGTAGAAGGGTTCATGAGCTAACACACAATCAGTGAAATTACAGAAGTGTCACAAACTGACCACTCCTTCCACTTGAGCTACAAACAGGAGCATTTCTGTGCTTCAAGTATAAAAATATGCATCAGTACATCAGAAAAAAACAACCCCAGGGGTGAAGCAGAAATTTGCTATCAGAATCTTTAACACAAACAGACAAACAAATGAAACAAAACAAGAACTTGAAAGTAATAAGTAGCCATGAGCTTTGCACAGTGACACGCTGGATACTGTAAAGGATATTGCAGTTTAAGGAAGGAGGGCCCCCTTCTCCCAAAGGACTCCAAATGCCACACTCAGCTCCTTGCACAAACCAGGGATGTGGGATTTATTGTCCCAGCCTTTCCAGTCAGTAATAAACTGCAGTTTAGGTAARAATAACACCAATAAACCACAGCAGAGGTAATCCCAACTATCACATCTGCTGAGCTGCTGGAGGAGGCTGCAGCCAGAACTTCTGAGCTTCCTGTGAAGGAAACCAACCCAGGCTGGGTCACATCTCAAGGTAGGGGTGGGTCACTCTATTTCAGCTTGATTTATGTTGCACTTTAAAATAAGCATTGTTCATCTGAGGATCACAGGATGGTTTGTGTTGGAAGGARCCTTAAATATCACCMAGYTCCAGCCCTGCCATGGGCAGGGGCACCTCCTTGTTTGTTTAGAGAGAAAAAGRGCCATTTAAAAGGTGTGACTGGAGAAAGCCCTCACTATCCTGACTCGTGTTTTAGTACTGCTGGGTTTTGGATGGAAAATTCTGAGTTATTATAAAGCCAAGACACTGAAAAGATCGTGGCAGAGAACCTGAACTTCATGAGATTGCTTGTGAAACTCTGCCSTCTCAGCAAAAAGGTTCCCTCTCCCAGTCTGGTGAGCAAGAAATGATTCTCCAAGCAGGAGAATTCTCCAAGTACAGCTTCTCCATKCTCCTAACCCACAAAGGCTCCTTGGCTTCCCTGCATCTCTCSTGTCTGTACTTGGAACCAGGATTTGTTTATCTGCAATCACCATCTCCAGGGGAGGATTTGCTTCCCATGTTCTTTGAATTGGTTCCCATCTCCACTGCCCACACARACTCCTTCCCATCCATGCAGACAACACTTGACCTGCATCACACTCAAGACTCTGAACAAGAGCAGTCACTAGCAGGACACACTGATTTCTCCACAGGATGCAGAGAAACCCTTCACAATGAGATGTGACAAGAAGGGAGAGATCAGTTATACTCAGTTTCTTCAAAAGATGCAATAATAGAGACTATATAATTAATTTTTTAAATACAAGAGCACAGAAATATGTTTTAGTATTTCTGAGCTTTCCATTCTTTTGGCTTTGTAAGTCAGAATTTTGTATCCAGTACAATAAATATCCAATAGTATCAACATACTTAGAGCCAGTGTTGTAATTCAGAATTTATGTCTAAAAACCAATGGTAATACAATGAAAGTCACAGTAGTCAAGAAGCATATCTATCTTTCCAAATCACACCTTCTCCATGGAGAAGGACTCAGGTGAGTTTTCTAAGCCAGCAGGAAAACCCCAAAAAATTAAACCCTTATCCACCCCTTTTTCTCACTGCAGCACAAAAGTGCCAAATGCCAGGTCAGTAACTACTGCCTTTAACCCCCACCCGTGCAGCAGCCACTGCCTGCAGAATCTGGGCATTTTTGGGGCACTGAGTGATTCATGTGCTCAGCAATGTGGGACAGTTACAGAATGAGACCCAGACAAGAMTCTGAGCTGTCCATGTGCAGGAGGTCCTGGGAATGGTGGCTCCCACTGATATCAGCTCCCCAAACAGTCTTTCCACGAAAACATTTAAAAGGCTGGCACTGGAGCCTTCAATAAAAACCTCAAATGTGCCTCAGCAACTTTCTTTGGGTGGGGGAAGAAATATATCCTTCAAAATGCTGATTGCATTGCAGGCACTGATAAATCCAATCCCACAGTGCCAGGACACTCCAGAAAAGAGCCTGTTCTAAATACAGCATTCCTGTGCTCAGCCATTGCACCATGGAAGTTGTGCTTGGCTCCAGGGCTCTTATCATTGGCAACAAAACTGCTCCCAGGCACCAAAGAAAACAAACTGATTTAAGCATGAACTTCTTCCTAGGGCTTAAGTCTTTGGAGAGAGCAATAAACAAGATTACAACCCAAATAGTTSTTCAAAGCTTAGCAGCAATGCAAACAGCATAAATTGCCTTGATGGACACTTCCATTTGGGTGCAGGAGGAGGTGAGAGAGGAGAGGTTCAGTAAGTGCCTGTTGGTAGCAGCAGCCCAGACCTGGCCTCACGGTGGCACAGAGCACTGCCAAGGATGCTCAGCAAATTGCTCTGGGCTTRTCCAGATCTGCACTGGACACATGGCAGGAAGAAAACTCCAGCACAAGTCTAAGGACACCCTCCAGAAGTGAGCAACTCACCAGTGTTCTCTGGCATTGATGCTTGATCTGTGTTCCTCTCCTTCTTAAAGGAAATGTTCCCAAACTGCAGCACTGAGGACACCACTTTGAGCATTGCTGTGATAACAAAACACATGTGCATCAGCTTAATGGCACAGGGCTCAGCTTAACACATTGTTCTTGTTTCTCGGGTCACRTTCCTTCCAAATTCCAGGTTCAGGGAGGAAATACAGTTTGCACTGTGCTTTTTGGGCAAATGGCTTTAGTTCAACTTAAGCAAACATTTTCTTCAGGCTAAGACAYTGAAGCAACATTGAATTTGGTGACATTAAATCAGTACAGCATACGTGTGTATGTGTGTGAGAAAGAGAGAAAAGGGCACTCTGAAAACCCCAAAGGGTCCATAACTTACACAAGATCTCATCGTGTGAAAATCCCATGATATGCATGGCTTCCATCGTCTCCTGGAAGTTATCCTTGTCTTGCTGCCCAGGGATGGGGATGTAGCCATTAGATAAAAATCTGTAATTGTTAAATCCTTCAAGCAGCAGGTCAGCTGTGTTGGGGGAAGGGCAAGAGACAGAAAAATAAGCTCAGAAATGCTGTTCACACCCACCCGTGCTCTGTTCTCACTCAATTCCCCAACTCTGCTTTAGGAAATCAGTTCCTCAGATATGGCCATGAGCCAGGACAGCTTCTGAAACCCTAAAAATACAAGTGCACCTCCCAAGCTGAGGCCAGATTCAGACTCTGTAGCAGCCTACATGAGCTCTTTAAAGCATGAAACCTGCACACAGAACATTACCCAGATTTCAAATCCCCATTTGGAATATCCTAAAAGGATCTCTACTGAAAGGTAACAGACCCAGRCAGAAATGGAGTTAGGGACTGATGATCACCACATCAAGGGAGCTGAACACCAGCTTATCTCACACAGGACAAGAAGCAGTGGATCAATGCTCTTGAAGTCTGTATCTTCATTAGTTTCACTTATCACAGCCTAGCAGAAATTCCCAAAGAAGGGGGAAAAAACTCAAAGAGAGTTGAGATAACCACCCCAACACTACAATGGCTGGAAGAAAGCCCTGGGGTTTCATTACATTTGGGTTAAATTTCTCTGTAGGCTGGAGAGATAGGGCTGCCTCTGCTGACCAGGGCTGGCTGTTATCAGTTGGGAACTCTGCAGTTTCAGTCCAGGGAYTCCCAGCCCAAACTGGGCTTTGGCATGGAGCAGACATTGGCTGGAAATGCCAGAGTGGCTCCCCAGCTCAGGTGAGCAAACACAACAGTTATTTCAGACAAAGCTACCCGGCTTCTCCTTCTTTTCAAACTCAACATTAGTGACCAAAGAATAACTCAGAGCCACCCTGTGCCACTGAAATAACAAATGCAGCACCCAACAGATCTGCAGGCTGACACTCCCAGCTTACACTTGAGGTGCTCTCCTGCTCCAGCCAGAAGCTGATAGAAGATGTGGAACGTCCGCTCGTCCTTGGCCTGACGGACAGCACGAGACTTCTCCAGCAGGTCTGGACACACCTGGAGTCAAGGATCACCTGCAAGCTTTGGTTAAAAATGTGCAGAGCAAACGAGCTCCAGAGCAGGCTCTGGAATTAGTTTGAGACCAAAGAGAATGTTGGGAGCAATGTCCAGAGAAGCTGTGGCTGCCCARYCCCTRGCAGTGTCCAAGGCCAGCCTGGAGCACCCTGGGGCAGTGGGAGGTGTCCCTGTCCCTGGCAGGGGTGGCACTGGTGGTCCCTTCCCACCCAACCCATTCTGGRATTCCRTGACTGGATTACATCCAACACAAACTTTCAGTGACTAAGCAAGAGATTTCCAGCTGGGACTGGGAGGAACTCACTTTTCATCTCAGGAAATTTCAGCACTCCATCCCTTGGCTATTGCCTGCATTTCCCTGCTTTCCCTGCATTTTCCTGTTTTCCCTGCATTCCCCTACATTCCCCTGCATTTCCCTGCTTTCCCTCCATTTCCCTGCAATCTCTGCATCTCCTGCTCTGTACAGCCACCATTGTGTGCCATGGATCAGCAGCAGTTTTGGGAGATGGAGCTGCCATCCTTCTTCATCACTTCTATTGAGGTCATGGCTGAACTCTTAATCCCAAAAAACCAGCAGCTGCTGAACTCAGAAGTACTTTATCATCCAAAGTGCATTTGTCATTTTTTCCAAGCATTGCATTTTTCCATAACAATCCACACTGCCTTTAAACAGCTCCCAAATTCAATTTCGGCAGCAGGTACTGCCTGATTAGCTGCTGTGAGCTGTAATCTTATTTAACTTTCTTACTTCTTGATATTCCATATTGTAAAGCAAACGTGGGACAGGGATTTGAAGTAACACTGGTAAGGATGAGCTCCTGTGATGAAGAAAAAAAATCCCCGAGAGTTAAATCCTTGTTTTCACAAAGCTCCAAGCAAAACAAATCATCTGGACTTTCCTAAAAGCTGCCTTCATTCCTGCACTGTGGTGAATGAAAAAAAAAAAAATTATTGTTGCAGCATATTTTGAATAACTATAGATCTCTTCCCAGCCTTATTGGGAAATCACATTTTCTGACAATTCCAAACATTTAATGCACTTCAGGTCAGGCAGTTTAAAAACACAGCAACCAGATGGAAGCTGAGCTGAACTACAGCATTGTTTATGATCAATACTCACTTAATGCTGTTTACCAAGACTTCCAGTTTCATCATTTTATGATCACTCCACTGCTATYCTCTCAGCAAACGGGCTAAACTCAAAATTACACAATACATTTTTAGCACAGAGAAAAGAACTCCAGGGAAGGGSTCTCAGTGCCGTGTTTATACTTGGTTTTATACTCAATAAATAAAACAAATCTTAGAGCTAAAGCTGAATTTGCTTTGGTATTAATTATAATTATTAAGTRTAAYAGAAGACCTTGTGTGATTGCACATTTTACATGGTTTCCCTTTTTAACACAGCCTGGCTCTAAGGGCAGGCTGGAAATCCTGCAGCTTTCAGAGTGTGGAATCTGGGAGTTGAGGATTTCCGAGCACGAGGAAGCCGCTGAATCTGTGATATTTGATCGGCTGTTTGGAAACCRAGGAAGAGAGGGATGCTGTCACAGGAATGTCCAACTGTGGCAACGTTTCTCTACATTCCACAGAATTCTAGGGTTAAATGCCAAACAAAGCAGGGAACTTGCATTTTGCAAGGATGTGGCAGGAAAAAGGATACAGGTCTCAATGTTGGCCCCAACGATGTAACCAGTGACATCAAAGTTAATCCTGATGAATTTGCCCTGCAAAGAAAAGAAGATTTTTTCACAATTGCTCTTTTTTTTTTTAAATTAAGGTAATGCTGTCTATATCAAACATAATCCAAATGCATTCATGGATCAAGCATTTCCCAAATTCAAATGAAACCTCTTCCCTTCCACGTCCTCAGCCTTCATTCTGATGGAGCATGTTGCACACAAACACAGTCTTGAGATTTAGGAACTCCTAGTCCAGATTTATTTGGAATCCAGACAAATTAAAAACTCCTGAGAACATGAGGTTCAATTTTCACTGACCACACACTCTGGCTGAGGTGGGAARCAATGCTGAGATCCCAAGTGTGCACATTTCTACAGCACYTYTGGGTGCCTAAAGGTGCTTCARCTCSCAAATCTCAGGTGCTGCCTGGCCCMAAACATTTCTCCTTCATTTTCCAAACCAGGCTGGCTGCTCCCTCCAYGGCCTCTCTTCTCCAGCCGTTGGTGAAGAAAGCACCAAGAGAAACAAGAGACCCATTTCTAAAACACACATCTCAAATAAACGGCACATTTCCCACAGGTGCTCTCCCAGGACAGGCAGCTTTTGGAAAGAAGCAAACAGATTTTTGTACCAGTTTTATGTCACCTCAGCTCTCCCATCTGATTTGTCACTTGCCTACAAACATTCCCAACAGGACAAAAGAYTGTGGTTTGGAGCTGGACCACTTTTAACCACCCATATTTCAAGCTGTGCTCATGAAATTGTTCAATGTCATCCTGGCTGAAAAATGTAAAAATCAGGTGGGAATACCCAGTCCTACACTGGGCTCTMCATCCTCACTGAATCCAATTTCCCAGCCTTCTCTATCCACACACATTCAATTTGACATAGTTTGGAGATCAGGGAGCATCACAACRTTTGCTATCACTGTCTAAGCACTTCTGATGGCTCAAAGCCACCTACCAAAAGCCTTTACGGAGCCTCTGGAAATTTTCTTACAATCTGGATCCAAATCTTCCCTAATCTCCAGTCTGATTAGTGTTATCAGTTTGTTAAARTCAATTCCTGTCTGGCAGATCTATTCAACTCAGGGACTGTAGTGATTTTCTTCTCAAATATTCTCCCCCACAGATTTGCAYGGTCCCTGTCTGACAGAATGGCCCAGGATAATCAGGGTATGATTTTGGGGGACCACTGCCATGCTGGAGCCTTCACCTACCACCACTTGTGCTACTGCAACTCCTCCCCAGAGCCCCCTGCCCTGATAAAGCCCATTTGGGTCAAGATTTGAGGGCACAAGAGTGACCAGGTTTGTCCCCTCAGTGAATCCAGGGAAAAGTACAAGCTCCCCACAGCCTGATCCTGACTCAGCCCTAGAGCAAAGCCACCACCCCAGGCTGTGGCTATACAGCTCCAGCTCCAAGTGGTGTCTCTGAGYTGCAAAAAATCCAGGTGGAAACACTTGAAATGAGCTCCAGTGGTCACCCCGTGCTGCTCCAGTTCAGGTGGAAAGCCAGAGGCACTGCAACCCCCCGGGCCAGGGCACAGGGCTTGTTCCCAGGCATGGAGCAGCTCCTRCACTCACATTCCTGGCTGTGAACAYACACAACAGCCTCAGCTCAGCTTGTAACTACATTTCCACTTTCTGCTCAGCAACGATCCCAAAAGCTGTATTTATAGCTGGCACAAAGAATGAACTGACATTTTACTGAAATTCAGGCAGCAGAGAAGATATGAGGCACACGTCAGCCCCAGCACAAGCAACAGACACCTCCTCAGCCAGAGCAGGCACCACAGAGCCTGGGATCTGCCGTGTCACAGGGGAAAACAAACACCAGCATCACCTGAGCTCCAGGCAGTGGCTTTTTTTCTTATATAATTTGGAACCATTTTGCTCTGTCCCACCCTTAAAAGTGAACTCATGTCCTGCTGTCGAGTTAGGAGTTCCAGCTGCAGAAGCAATTGAGAGGAAATACAGTCACTAAACGAGGTGACACATTAGAAGGGGGACCCACATTCCCTGCTTCCAAGTTCAGGCATSACTGGAGAGGTCACTTATCCACTTCATTTCCTTAAAAGCACGCTTTTAATCCAACCTTTCAGCTGGCATTGGCAAAGCTGGCTGTGGAATCTTTAATTTAACATTCAGAGGCTGCAGTGATGCTCATCTAAGGGCTGAATTCTGTTGACACCATCACAGCACTGAGTCCAGGGCTTTGGAAAAACCACATCAGAGGGAAGCATTCAGCACTGCCACATAAATCCAGCAAGCCCACTCTCCTAACCAGTGCAAACCAGAGATTTATTTCCTGAAACAAAAGACAACTGCCCTTGGTAGAAGAAAAAAGGGGAGAAAATAAAATCCATTGGCCACTGGCCCTATTGGAGYCCTCCCTGGTGCTATCAGGAGCAGGGAAGGCTGACGGGCTCATGCTGCACAGGGAAGCCTGTCAAGACTGCATGGCTGAACAGCAACACCTCTCACTTGGTGGGAGGAGAGAGATTTTTGAAGTCAGGTTTTAAAATGGCTGTTAAAGATTATTTTTTTCTGCATGAGATGAGACCATCTGGAATGCATTATACTGGCTCCTTTATAAAAACAGAGCTGGAGCCATCAGAGTGATTATGTTCATGATGGCAATGCAGAGCTCAAAATAACACAAACCAGATGCTGACATCTTTTAGGGGAAAAAGTATTCACATTAAATTAGTATAGACTCTGACGGATTCAAGACAGGTAACAGAGTTGGATCATTGTGCAGTGAAACCTGTTGATGTTATAAATCCTGTACCCAGCTTCTATAAGCACCAAGCAACATGACTGCAAAATGTATAAAAACATGGCTATAAAATAATAAAAGCTGAATTTCCACAAAACTCTGCTCTCCCTTCTCAGCTGAAAGGCCTAATTGATTTAGTCATAGTTTTCCAGAGTCCTTATCAGTGCAGTTGAGTTCATGCATTATAAATCCAAGCAACTGTTGAAATGTCAAAGGCAGACAAGAAATCTTTCATTTGTTCTGTAAATTTTAGTGCTGTTCTCACAAGAAAAAAGATTTAATACCTCCTGTACAGTTTTGAAGTTGTACTAAAAACATCTTCCCCCTGAAATAAGAGATGGCTTTTTTTTCTTCCTTCAAAAGAAAGGAAGTTCTAAGAAGCAGTAAAATGCTATTTATTCACCCCGAGTCCCACCACAATTTTTAAAACAATGGAGCTCATCAGAAGTGGTTATCAGCCACCAAAACACTCTGTGAACAGCAGGCAGGGACCCAACACAAACATGGAGCAGCTACAGCAGTGTCTGACACCTGGGGTAAGTCACACAGTGGCTTTTTTACTTTCCTGCAGGAGAGCAGTAAACTTAGCTGGGGTTTTATAWGCAAGTTCTGGGGTTTTGTAGAAATTCAGGATGCTCCCTCCAATCCAGCCAATTAATAAAGTAACAGCAATGGATGAGAAGGCTGCAGACTTTGGCAGTTCYATGGGGATGCCACAGTCCTTCCCTTCACAGCAACCCAGCAGCAGTGCGTGYACACAGTTTTTGGTTTTTTGGCCCCAGCTCAGCTCCCCAGCACAGCTGGATTTGTTTGACTATCGCCACTGCTGTCAGCTCAGGGATGGCTGGAGTTAGAATAAAGAATGTTTTGCCAAGAGCCAGTGAGGCTGTGTCTTCAGTGACCCCAAAAAAATGCAGAAGAGAACCTGTATTCATGGAGAAAGAGAACAGAGAAAGCTTCTGACACTAATTAGAGAAATACCTAAAAAAGGTAATTTCTCCATGAACAGCAGTGCAGATTTACAGCCTCTGAGGACACAAGGAGTTACTCACAAAGCGGGAGGAGTTGTCATTTTTCACTGTCTTCGCATTCCCAAAGGATTCCAGGATAGGGTTGGCCTGAAGAAGCTGCCGCTCCAGCTCCCCCTAAAACCACAGAGACAGAAAAAACAAMAGATTTATCCCAGAACACCTGTGGRGCAGGGTTCAAGCATTCTGCCCCTCCTGACAGTCACCTCCCCTGGCTGTGGCAGTGCCAGCACCTCCAGAAGGGGATTCTCATCCTTCCCTCACTCCCAAATCTGCCGAGGCTCCTCCATCCAGGGCTGAACRTGGCTGGGTTTTTGGTGCTTTTATGGTTGGGGTTTGTTTATCAAAACACACACACACAGACACACACAAACAGAGCAGGGATCAGATAAGACTTGATGGATGTTGAAAGTCACTGAAGATGGAAAAGAAAATTCACATTTAGGGCTAATGAAATCAGGCACAGACCTTGAGTGCTTAAGGGGAGAAACCCATTGAACTGCTTTAAATTTTAGTGGAGTGTTCCTCTTAAATTTCATGCTGACACTACAGCTACCTTGGAACACCTATTTGCAAACTCAGAAATACCTATTTTCAGACTTTCAGACAGTGAAACTCCCCTTCAGTCAGCCAGACTGGAACTCATCTCATTGCAACCCCCAGACCTGACCACACCTGAGAAGGCCAGAACAGCTCAGCAGAACTGAGCAGCACCAATTACAAACAGCATTTTCAAATTGCTCAACCCAGCCTGCAYGGCTCAGGATGTTTAATGCATTTTTTGGATGTTTCGGTAAGTTCTGGCCTATGCTTTTAGAATTTGAAGTACTTATCTCAAGGAAATTGCACAACAGCTTTTAMAGTTGCTGTCCATGAGGAGGTCTGGTAACAAAAAATGTCTGTGCTGTTTCCAAGAGCCCAAGAGACTCAAATGTACACAGGAAAATATATTGTCTTCCTGCTCTGAAGGATGGTTTGGAAAAAAGAAAAAAAAAAGACCAACAAAAAAAAGAAAGTGAAGCTGTCTGGAATGCAGTCTCCAAATCTGACATTTGTGTTCATGAACCTGCTTTTTCCAATTATTTACAGTCTTGATGAATAAAAGCCCCAGACTGAGCATCAAAGAACAGGAAACATGAAGTCTCCAAAGGCTTCCACGTGAGGTCAATGCTTAGACAGGAATTTTAACAATTCACTACTTAACACTTAAAAGAGTTTTACTTGTATATTGAAATATATTTCAAGCTCTCCCTGAAATTAATGACTGCTCCTTGTTTTATGTGACCTCAAGTTATCTGCTCAGAACTTGCTTACTTCCAAATGTGTTCCCTTTGGGACTATGCATTCCCTGAATTCWGGGCTAAGTAAAGAAGGAATAAATGTAGAGGGAATAAATGTGAGTGTTAGCCCAGAGCACTCAGGTGTGWGCAGGGCTGCCACAGTGACAGCTCTCAGAGCACCTCCAACCTGACAAAACCCTGCAGCTGGAGAGAATCTGGCTCCTGCTGTCCCCACTCCCTGCTGTCTGCAGCTGATATTCTCCAAGTTTCCCATGTAAAATCTCAGATCCTGGGATTGCTCCCACCTTCCCCCGCTCTCCTCTCGCAGTGCTGCCAGCTCCTGGGGACACCCTGAGATCCAGGAGAGCATTTCTTTATCACTGAGCTTGGGATAACCCCAGGATGCACAGCCAGGGGWCACAGGTGACATGGCCAGCTCCTCAATATTCCGGGAGAGAAATCCCCTGAGCCCAGAGGGTCTGTCCATGGCTGAGTCCAGGGGAGCTGCCCRGGCTGGGGCTGGGCAGAGCAGCCTCTGCAGGGATCCCTCCAACACACAGATCCCCAATCTCTGCTGGAGGCAGCAAGGTCTCAGCAGCTCCTTTGTACAATCATCTCTGAGGAGCTGAGGGGAGCAGTGGGAGCCTCAGCTGTGGGTGAAAACCATGGGAACGAGCAGCGCTCAGTGCTGCACACACAGCGCTGTCACCGCTGTCACCAAGCAAAGCAAACCCCTCACTGTACAGAAAGGCTCCTGATCTGGGAGTTTTCCTCCCCACSGACTGCTTTTAGCCAAAACCAATTCCCTTTTTGAAGAGCTCCATGTTTTGCAAAGACAAACTGAACAAGACAAACCAAACTCCAGAGCGTCAGTTTGGCCTCTGGGCACGGCTCCTGCACAGGCATCTCCCCAGCAGTTGGAAAAAGCAGTGTGGGAATTGTGGGAAGAGTGAGCTCATGCAATAGTTCATGCAGGGCACCACGAAGACAACGCCAGGTTATTGTCTCAGTTTCAGAAAAACCAGCAGCCCAGCGACTCGGTTTGGGGAGACTCACATATACCATGGATCCACTGGGAGTTGCACATGTCATGKAAACAGAGATGTTACTGGTTCCATGGCTCATGCAGGATCCACAGCTTGGGATTAGCATTTTCCACAAACAGGGTTCAAATGTTCACCAGCAAATGTTCTGTGTCAACCCTGACATGGCAGGTCTAAGCAGGAGCAGGGTTAGAGCCAACAGCACTCTATCTATTTTTGGACTTGACAAATATTTTAGTAAAACCCCTTAGAATTGACTGATGTGTTCAAGGAGGGAGGATTCAGTTAAATACTGAGAAAGTCTGCAGCTTCTGAAAATGAGACCATGGGCTCAGACACACAGTGGGGTTGCAGAAGTACCACACACTCCCAGCTGCCCAGGGATTGCTTTTSCTTTCAACATGCCACACTGGAAGGTTCCTTCACTATTTCCCTTTGCACTACAGTCACTCTGCTGTGATCAACTTCAGAGAAAGGCAAGGGGGATGGAGGGTTCACCCAGCTTAACCAACCCAGGGGAGCTGCTTTAGTTTCCAAGGCTGGTTATATCCTGAGGAGCTGGGTTTTTCTTTATTTAAAAGCTCGTGCCCAGGACAGAGGCATCACTTCCCAGCTCGGGTTAGAATGGAGCATTTATCTTGTGGCAGCAACTGTTCCTCCCTTTGCACAGTCCTGCCTTCAACTTCCACCTAAACCTCCTTCAGG